ACCAACGTAATTTATGCATTTCAGCTACTATTTTAGGAAATTCGTTACCGGGTCTGGTAACTTCTTTCGGTGCGACTCGTAACAAATAATTTTTTTTTTAAAGGATAGGGGCACATCCCAAACCATAACCTCAATCACACCTCCTTTCTCATTTGTTACAGTACACTAAGCTTCATATTGGATTTTAAATTTTTAAAATCACATGTGATGCCCGATACACTGTAGCAAATGAGAGAGGGGGTGTGGTTGAGGTTATGGTTGGGGGTGTGCCCCTAGTGCCACCCATTTTTTTTCGATGCGAAGCAATTAAACCTTTGACATTTTGTCCCAGTCCCTCAACTTCGTGAAGTTGCTGTCAGCTCCCCCAATCCTTGTGCCTCGTTTGGTTCACGGAAAGTCGAGTTAAGTGAGAACGAAATGAAGTAAATAATCGATAAAGTTAATGTGTGAGCGGAATGCTCATCCTCGTTCTCGTTTTTTGGTGTGATTAAAGACCTCATGTTCGGCAAGCGTGAATGAAAACTGGGAATGAGCATTTCATTTTCGTTCATTCTTACGTACCAAATAAGTTGTTGGATTTTGCTACGACTGCTCTTGAAGTTAAGCATATGAATTAGGGAACCTAGTGACGATTTCAATGCTTTGAGGTACTCATTTTTAAAAACTTGTAAGAATTGGAAGACCTAATAGCAACTGCAATGATTTGAGGGAGTAGTTTGGTAATAATTTGATATGTAAGGGACTAATATGGGAAAACCCAAAAAAAAATTGAAACGTATACTAAATAAATCATTTTGAGTAAATTACATTACCAGAAAAAAAAAACACCTTAGATTTCCTGGAGCCATTTAAAAAACCGCCAGACTTTTTAAAATAACAGTTTTAGTTTCAAATTTTTAAAAATTAACTTCAACGCAAAAGGATATGATAACTAAATGTATTTCTGTAAATATGTAATTATTACGTTAAAAGTCATAATTATATTGAAAAACTGAATGATTATTAGATTAAAAATTAAAAATTAGGGAATGAAATATGAGTTTTAAATATTAGAGGAAAAATTACGAAAAAAAGGCTGGGTCCCACTTGTGTTGGATTTATCCTAGTCAGCGCCAACTTCATGTCAACGGTCTCATAACAGCTGGGCCCCGATGTTTGTTGGTGCATTTCTTTCGTTATGAATTTTTCTTTGAAAATTTTTCCCTGTTTTATGAAAATTTTGTTCCAAGTAAATCTCACATATTTTATGAGGAACATAAAATATGTCTCGCTAGTTTCAACAATTTCCTGTCAGTGAGAAAAGTCTTTTCTCGCTGAACGTAACTCTGGAGATTTTAATAAGAACACGACATTAGTGAGAGGGGGAAAATTTGATACGGGGGAGGCCTATGTGGAAACCATACGTATAGAGGGAAGGAAAAGCTTGTATTCGTATCAATTTTAAAATTTTAAAATCTATGGTTGCGCTGATTCTTATATTATTTACAATAATTCAGTATTCTATCTCACGTTTTTTGTTTTTTTAAACTGATTTTGCATATTGTTGTACTCTATTGCCGTTGTGCGCCGCGGAAGCCTCGAATAGCCAAAACAATAGCACACACAAGAACAAAATAGACCACAATAGACACAAGCCAACCAATCACAGCAAGAACACAAGATATACGTGGTTCGGCAATTTGCCTACGTCCACGGGGCAAGGAGGGGGGAGTTCCACTAATCAAATTAAAGGGGAATACAAATTAGGGTTACAAATCTTACCCAAAACCCTCAAACAAGATCACTTGATCTCTCCAATAGACTCCAACAAAAGAAGCCCTAGAAAATCCCCTTTGGCAGCTCAAAATCACCCTTGCATAAAACCCTAGAACAGATTTGGGGTTTATATACGAGTTACAAAGAAAACGGGTCTGGAAAACCAACTTAAACCAAAAACCCGATAGTCGGTCGACCGCAGCACCACTGCCGGTCGACCGCAAAATATCCCGAGGTCCAGTCTGCTCTCTGGACAATTCGCGGTCGACCGCAGCGCTTCGTCCGGTCGACCGCCCAAATTCCAGAGGCACACTAAGAGTTGTGTGCACATATCGGTCGACCGCAGCTCCACTGCCGGTCGACCTCCCAACTTCTAGAGACATACCTCTGACTTTTCACCAACTCTACAAAAACAAAATTGTTTTTGCTTTATTTTTATTTTACAAGATTACCACTATATTTAGAAACCATCAATGTGCTTCGTGCGTGCATGGTAGACTTGGTTCTTCGCCAAATAGATAGCTGACATACTATCACAATGTACCTGAATGGTCTCCTGTGCAATCCCCAAATCATCCAACAAGCCATGTAGCCACAAAGCCTCCTTCACTGCTTCAGTCACCGCCATATATTCCGCCTCCGTAGTAGAAAGCGCCACTGTAGACTGAAGAGTGCATCGCCAACACACCGGTGCACTAGCCAATGTAAACACATAACCTGTAGTGGACCGACGCTTGTCAAGATCTCCAGCATAGTCTGAATCCACGTAGCCAATACAATTCTGCCCTGTCTCATCATTCTTCGCAAATATCAACCCAATATACACGGTACCCTTAATATACCGTAGAATCCACTTCACGGCCTCCCAATGCCCCTTCCCGGGGTTGTGCATGTACCTAGATACCATGCTCATGGCCTGTGACAAATCTGGCCTAGTACACACCATAGCATACATCAAGCTACCCACTGCGCTGGCGTATGGAACCTTGGACATGTAGTCCCTATCCTCCACTGAAACTGGTGACATCAAAGCTGAAAGCTTAAAGTGGGGAGCTAATGGAGTACTCACCACCTTGGTATTACCCTCAAAACTGAATTTCTTCAGCATCTTCTGCAAGTAACTCTTCTGTGTAAGCTTCAATCTCTCATTCACCCTGTCTCGTTCAATCTCCATACCCAGTATCTTCTTAGCTTCTCACAGGTCCTTCATCTCAAATTCTGATGACAGCTCCTTTTTCAATTTCCCAATAGCTAAAGTATTCCTGGAAGCTATGAGCATATCATCAACATACAATAACAAATAAATGTACTCACCATCCTGTAGCTTGCGCATATAAACACATGGGTCATAAGGGCTCCTCGTGTATCCTCGGCCAATCATAAAGCTATCAAATCTCTTGTACCACTGTCGCGGTGATTGCTTCAGTCCATAAAGAGATTTTCTCAATTTGCACACCAAATTTTCCCTTCCTGCAGCTTTAAACCCCATAGGTTGTGTCATGTAGATCTCCTCGTCTAAGTCTCTATGTAGAAAGGTCGTCTTCACGTCCATTTGGACCAAATCTAAGTCCAGCTGTGCCACCAATGCTAATAGTATCCGAATCGACGAATGCTTCACAACGGGTGAAAACACCTCATTGTAATCAACACCTTCAAGCTGTGCATATCCCTTGGCAACCAATCTGGCCTTGAACCGAATGTCCCCAATAGAAGATCCCTCCTTCTTAGCATACACCCACTTGCAACCAATAGCTTTCTTACCCTTAGGTAGCTGTGCAAGTTCCCAAGTGTCGTTCTTCTGAAGAGATTGCATCTCCTCCTCCATAGCATTCCTCCACCTAATGGAATCAGGACTGGACTCTGCCTCCCTGAATGTGGCAGGAATCAGATCATCAACGACCTCCACCGATAAAGCATATGCCACCATGACATCATCATATCTAGCTGGCCGACGAATCTCTCTCCTCGGTCTATCTGCTGCAATGGACCTCTGAGCATGACCCTGCTCCTGAGTCTCATCATCCACTGTATCCTCCAAATGCCCGACTGTCATCTCAACTCCTTCCAGTGTCACCTCTGTAGAGTCTCAATGGACACAGTGCTGACTGGAGTGGGTGGAGTCACATCATCCTCCACCTGCTACGATATCCCTCCTGTCTGATCTTCCTCCACCTGCTGAGGAACTCGAGGCTTCATCATGTACGCCTCATCAAATGTGACATCTCTGCTAATGATCATCTTCTTGTCTTGTGGATCCCATCTTCATTATGTACGCCTCATCGAATGTGACATCTCTGCTAATGATCATCTTCTTGTCTTGTGGATCCCATAATTTGAAGCCTTTTACACCTTCTCTAAATCCCACAAAGATAGCCTTCCTTGCTCTCGGATTCAACTTCCCTTCAGTAACATGGAAATAAGCTGGACACCCAAAAATCCGAAGAGTCTCATAATCACTAGCCACAGAACCAGACCAACGCTCTTAAGGAGTCTTCCCCTCTATCGCAGTGCACGGCAACCTGTTAATGAGATGGCTCGCATAAACTAACGCCTCGGCCCAAAAAGATCTAGGCAATCCACTCTGCGTCATCATACACCGCACCTTCTCCAGCAAGGTCTTCTAATGCCGTGATCCCGGCAAAACTGCAGAAATGGATCACTCTTATACTCTCCACCATTGTCTGAACGAAGAGTCTTCACCTTTCTACCTGTCTGCAGCTCCACTTTCTTCTTCCACTCCACAAATATATCCAGGACCTCATGTTTATGCTTCATGGTATATACCCAATTCCTCCTGGAATAATCATCAATGAAAGTGACGAAATAGTTTGCCCCACCAAGCGATGTGTGCTTAGAAGGGCCCCAAACATCTGTGTGAATGTAGTCTAATATACCTTGGGTGTTGTGAATTGCGGTGCCAAACTTCACTTTAGTCTTCTTCCCAAGTATGCAATGCTCACACAGCTCCATCTTGCAGGTCTTTGCACCTTTCAATAGCCCCTGTTTTGCCAATGACTGTAGGGACTTTTCACCTGTGTGTCCAAGCCTCATGTGCCATAGTATGGTAGTGTCCTCCTATGTGGTAATAGAAGCTGTCAGACCCCCTGTAACTGTCTTGCCCTTCAAGTAGTATAGGTTGTTTTCCCTGACACCTCGCATCACCACCATAGAACCCTTCATGACCTTCACACTAGCATCTTCTAGGATCACTCTATAACCGGATGCCTCCAAAGTCCCAAGAGAAATGAGGTTCTTCGTCAACTGCGGCACGAACCTCACATCTTTCAATTCCCTAGTCACCCCGTCATGCATTCTGATTCTGACTGAGCCAATCCCACTAATAGGACAAACGTGATCGTTCCCCATGAGCACCACGTCTCCTCTCTTCAACTCCTCAAAGTTGGTAAACCAATCCCTCTTAGGGCAAATATGAAATGTAGCTCCCGAATCAAGCATCCACTCCATAGAGTCGGCATAACAAACTGATGGCAGTGCGGGACAAGAATAACCGGAAGAATCTGAATCTGAAATGTCGCCAACAACCTTAGCAACATTAACCTCTGAATCTTGTACAGCTTTCCCCCTTTGCTTCCCGGCTCTATCCTTCAACTTTGGGCACTCATTCTTCCAATGTCCCTCTTCTTTGCAAAAGGCACATTGATTTCTACCAACACTTTTATGGCCACCCCTATTCTTTGATTTTGAGCGGTTGAACTTTTGGCGGTTTGGACTACGGCCACGAACTGCAAGTGCATCACCCGATGCCTTCTCGGAGGGCTCACAATCATTCTTCCTCAGCTCATAATTCACCAATGCCAAAGTCACCTCCTTGTAGCTAACTGTAGTTCGCCCATTAATCATAGTGAGAACAAAAGTACTAAATTCATCATCCGGCAACGAACACAACAATAACATCGCCTTATCTTCATCCTCCACCATGATATCAACATTGGCCATATCCGAAATTAGCTTTGTGAAGTTGTTAACATGCTCTCGAATGGAAACTCCTTTCTTCATCTTGAATTGGTAGAACCTTTTCTTCAAATGAAGCCTATTCTCAATGCTCTTTGTCAAATATTTTTCATTGAGCGTTTCCCACAATCTCTTTGCCGATGTCTCGTTCATCACATCATAAATGAGATCCGGCGTCAAACATGACCGAATCACCTCACAAGCCCTACTGTTCATTTTCTTCCAAACCCTATCATCAATCTCCTCGGGTTTCTCTTGAAACTCAAGAGTCTCCTCTAGATTTTGTGCATCTAAGGCGTCCATTACTTGACACCTCCATAAACCGAAGTTGATCTTGCCGTCGAACTTTGGTACATCAATTTTGGTGTTATTGATGCTCAAATTTTGGATCGCCTTTGTCAAAGCCGACCCCGATGTACTAGTAGCACTTGAACTAGCATTGCTTGTATCACCCATATTGTAGATATACTCTTCAAACAAGAACCCAACAATGAATCCTTCGAACAAAACTCCCAAATACAACCCGGAGCTCTGATACCACTTGTTGTGCGCCGCGGAAGCCTCGAATAGCCAAAACAATAGCACACACAAGAACAAAATAGACCACAATAGACACAAGCCAACCAATCACAGCAAGAACACAAGATATACGTGGTTCGGCAATTTGCCTACGTCCACGGGACAAGGAGGGGGGAGTTCCACTAATCAAATCAAAGGGGAATACAAATTAGGGTTACAAATCTTACCCAAAACCCTCAAACAAGATCACTTGATTTCTCCAATAGACTCCAACAAAAGAAGCCCTAGAAATCCCCTTTCAGCAGCTCAAAATCGCCAAAGCTTCTAGAACAGATTTGGGGTTTATATACAAGTTACAAAGAAAACGGGTCTGGAAAACCAACTTAAACCCAAAACCCGATAGTCGGTCGACCGCAGCACCACTGCCGGTCGACCGCAAAATATCCCGAGGTCCAGTCTGCTCTCTGGACAATTCGCGGTCGACCGCAGCGCTTCGTCCGGTCGACCGGCCAAATTCCAGAGGCACACTAAGAGTTGTGTGCACATATCGGTCGACCGCAGCTCCACTGTCGGTCGACCGCCCAACTTCCAGAGGCATACCTCTGACTTTTCACCAACTCTACAAATCTCCACCTCGGCGAACGTTTATGAGGGGGAGGGGAAGAGAAATGAGGCTTTCACCTTGTTTGGGAGTTTTTTTAAGGAGGGTAGAGAGGAGGAAGGAAGGGGAAAGGAGGGTAAAATTGCTTGGTTTTCTTTCCCCCCGATTTGGGCGGTAGAGGAGGGTAGAGGAGGGTAAAGGGGTGTAATGACATTCTTACCCCCATCAAAACAAATAAAAGGGCTGATGAGATATGTTATTAGTATAAAGTCATTTATGTAAATTTACATATATTTACTTCCTTTCACCTTCATTCACTTTACTCAACTCCTAAACAACATATTACAATTCTCTTCCCTTCCATTCCCTTCCCGTTGTTTACCTTCCCTTCTCTTCCCTTAGTAAACTCCCAAACACACCATATATGATTTTCTTCTTTAGGCCTTTCAGCATTAAAGTCTATAGCTATCCACAAGAGAGAACAAAAGGAGAGTGTGAACTTGGGAACAAGTAAAACAAGTTTCAACAACCTGCTCCTTAGATTTCACACACAAAGTCACAGAGTATGACTGAGCACTGAACAGTGCTTTTGTGTTAAAATATGTGGTGACGAATCAAATTCATATTCTAAATAAATTTCTCACATTAGTGTTGGATTTGCTCGGAACTGACTTTTAGCAAGCATTAAAAAGAAAGATAAGGGTGGGTAGCATATATAATAAAACAAAGAACAAATACATGTGCACGTCTCATGCTAGAGTTGCAGAGTGACAGGGAAAAGAAAGATACAAGTACGTCGACTACAAGGTGAAATAGTTCAAGAAGTTTTATGAGCACAAAGTAAATAACAGTTCAAGAAGCTTTCAGCACCTACCACAAAACTGCTTTCCTTGACAAAACCTACCACTGACAGCAACCTTATTCACTCATCACCTAACCAATTAATACAAAATGCAAAACAGAACAAAACAAGACACAACAACAACAATAACAGGTCAAGCTGCTTTTCCCAAAAAATTAAAAAAGAAAATAAAAACAACACCTTTGTATCAATTTCTTTCGGGCTCGGTTACACGAATCATATTTTTCCGTTCATTTATGCTAAGAGTGAGCTTCTACATAATCTTAACAAATCAAGACAACAGAACATAAATGACAAACTCCAAATAATGCATAGTTGCCTTGACCCCATTCCAAGCCCAAGACCACAAAACATGATATATTTATGATTATTCTTGAACGTTCATAATTGCAAATGACAAACAAATATGTGACATGGGGTAAAAAGTTGTCTGACTAGTAGTAGCTCAAGTGATAACACTGACCAATTAGATACAAAATTGGGTGTGTGGACATTTGATTGAAAGAGGGAGATCTGTAGATAATTTGATAAAATGGATACAAATAATTAAGGACCATTTCCTCGGTCTTCATTGACTAAGACTAAGTCATTAACTTTATTCTGTCATATTCATCTACCGGGCAGATGAAAGTGATGGTCAACTAGAAAGCATTGGCGTTTATTCAACGATATCTCAATCCTAGTGTGTGATACATGACGCGCTTCAAAATTGTCAAGCCATCCAAAGGTTATAATCACCCTGCAATATATCAAATTCAAAAGTATTGAATCATCAATCAATCAAATTATCGACTGAAGTAGAAAACACCATATGCAGTGCATGCACAATCAACTTTAATAGGGCGTTGACATCATATCAACAAAAACAAAAAGTAAAAAATACAGTGCGGAAATTTTTAAATCAACTTAAATGACTTCATGCAAATTATAAAACTATTTCAACAGCGGGGATTATATATAATTAAAAATAGGAAATTTAAAATACAACTAGTACAAAACACATGCAATTTGACTGCATTCAGCAGCTAAGAATTCCATATATCATAATGTTAGGAAGGACAGAACAAAAACAATAGTAATAAGGACAAATTTTTAAAAACAACCTTTTTTTAATATTAATTGGCAAAATCGACCGTTCAAGAAAATAATTGGCAAAATCGACCCCTTTGGGTCGATTTTGCTGCGAAGAAACTTTGTTGAAGTCACGGGACTACTAGTCCCGTGCATCTCTCTCCTCTCTCCCTACCCCCATCCCACCTGGCCATCTCTCTCTCTCCTCACTCACCTCCCCCTCTTTCCCTACCCCACATCCCTCCCCAGAGACCCCTCCAACTTCCCCTCCCAACTCCCACCCAAATCGACGTCGCTCTGCTGTCGTGGTGATAACGACGGCGGGGATGGAGCTCGGTGCGCTGAGCGTGGTTGGTGACTGCGGTCGAGGGGCTCGCTGCGAGGGCGGAGCCTCGAGATGCTCGGGTTGAGCTCGAGCTCGAGGGAGGACGGAGGCTTGACAAGGCGGAACGGCGGTAAGAGCTGGGTCGATCGGTTGCTGGGCCTCACGTCGTGGCGAGGGAAGAGTGCGGTCGGAGTTTGGCACGGTGCGGGCAGAGTTTGGCGGCGATGGAGGAAACCAAAGACGGTGCGAGCGGCAGCGTCGGTTCCTCAGGTTGGTGCGTAGATCCTGCGGCCCTGCGGAGCACGGGTGGAGAGGGAGGGTGTGGCCCTTGGTGAATGCTGGTGGCGGGTTTGTGAAGCAGAAAGGGAGAATGGATTTTCTGAGTTGAGGGAAGTGGAAGGAGCGGCTCAGGGCGTGATTGCAGGTTGGAGGTGGGCAGGGAAGTGGGCAGGGGCTTCTGCTGGGCGAGGATGGGGGTAGGCGAGGGGGCGTGAAGTGAGGAGAGAGAGATGGCCAGGTGGGATGGGGGTAGGGAGAGAGGAGAGAGATGCACGGGACTAGTAGTCCCGTGCACTTTAACAAAGTTTCTTCGCAGCAAAATTGACCCAAAAGGGTCAATTTTGCCAATTATTTTCTTGAACGGTCGATTTTACCAATTAATATTAAAAAAAGGTTGTTTTTAAAATTTTGTCCTAGTAATAATAATAACAATGTTAGGAAGGGCATAAGACGGAAAAATTATAGCATATGGTTATCTCCCACGAAAAAAAGGTCTACAACAACCTTTTCCTCCACATATCAGTTAAAATATTTCATGTGAAAGCATCAAGTACTTCTCTCTTTTCGAAAAGAAAGAAGTCGCTAAGACATCAAGAGAACTAGGCTCATCAACTTGATGAGCAGCCTAAGCTTGCTAACGGGTTCAGCCTTTGCCAACCATGTGCCTATAGGTATGGCCACATCTATGGAATCCTTTAGCCAGACTTTCGTGATGGACTACACTAATTCTTTCTTCCATTCCCTCCTTTTAAAATTCATTACAAAGAAACCCCAAAGCCTAATGAAAATAAGACACTGTAGAACTTACGTGATCATTGTAAGCAAACGCTCTTTGTAGCTTCCATCATCAGCACATACAGGGCATATCCACCCCTATGGCACCCGGGCATCCTTAGTGCCATTTTATCTAACTCGTCCTGTAAACCAAGAAGATACATCAGTGATTACGATGTGAAACAAAATGTATAAGGATTAGTTTTGTCACGACAGTTACTAGAGCTGACCTTTGAAACTGTATACAGATTAGTGGACTCATAGCCATCTTGAGCTTTGGAATACAGCTGGTAAATTTCACCTGATCTTAAGTTACATGTTATAAAGAAAAAGGCTGTTGGTCTAACATTCAGGTCCCTGCGAGATATTCCAATAAATAGAGGATCACACTGCATGAAGTTTGACAGCTCGTTAGCAAAATCAACATGTGCAATAAACTAGTATAAGGTTCCATGACACAAAATGTATTCTGGCGTGCATTAAGCTGTAACCATACAAACACCTACAATACAGAACTCAAAAGTCAAAACCATTCTAATGAGATACACATTCCAATTGTGGTGTAATCAACAATCAGATGTAATTCATCCGACTGAAGATTATCTCATTGAGATAGAGCATGCTATCAGGCACATTGACACACAATATAACCTAAAACCTCAACAACCTAAAAATGATTTAAAACACCAATATCTAGAATTCTCTAAGGGTAGTTAATTGAGATTAGTGCTCATTTATTTAGTTTTCTATAGATTATTCTACAACCAAAGATGTCCAGGTAGGCCTCAAAATTGGATCTTTCTACATACAAATTGTTGAATTTTACATAACTTCGTGTAACCACCCTGATGGTCATATAATTTGAATACATATTGGACGTTCACTATCCAGTTCACAATTTTGTCAAATACTCAATAAAGCTATGTTTGATTGCTGTAGTTCATTACTTGACTGAGCCTCAGGCACCCATAGCAAGGCAACAAGTGATACTATATTATAGGATCAAAAAGAAGTTGAGTCACCAAGTTGTAGGAACGGCACAAAATTAAAATCAGCAATATTTAGAAAACTTAACTAGAGATTCTGCAGGAACCCCGATTTCTTCAACTACTTCGCGGATGATACCTTCAAACATCTCTTGTGAAACTTTTTCATTCAATAATGAAGACTCCATTGGATCACTGATTTGATGAGAAGTAATTCCAATTTCTTGGGGCTGCAAACAAAAAGGACTTCTTTCAGCAAGTCACCGTGCACAGATTTTTCATCAAAGCCTTCATGTTTCAACCTAATACAGAATATAAAGGTAAATACTTTCATATAGCAGTTGCTGTAATAGCCCACGCAACAGCAAAAAACTTGCTGTTATAGTCCACGCAGTAGCAAAAAACTTAGTGTAGCCGCAATACAGAGCGACACTCGGTTCTTCTAACCCTCCAACCATTATACCATCAACCAATATAACGATAAAGGTAGTGTATGGTTATTATTCTTATTACCCTTATTAGTTAGCTTTGGTTTATATATAACATATATCTGATTAAGATTCTTTTTAAAATATTCTTTAAAGCCCTACAAAACACCATTTGTGTGCAACTTTGGCGCCTCTTTAACAGTATAAGGTATATGGCATGTATCTACAATTAGATATTTAGATTATATCTTTTTTCTTTGTTTTCTTTCAGTATTGCAACCAAACAAAACCGACAGTGAGTAGAGAGTCAATCCAGAAATGCATCATCCCATCCAAAGGTGGCATAGTACTTGTACAGTGTAAACAATCATTACACCTTTGCAAATAGGCCACTGATAGTGTCCTGGAAAGAATAAAAAGAATCTGAGCATATAGGAAGGGAGGGAAGGAGATTTTCAGCCTTACACCTCAAAGCTAAGGGGTGAAAGGAAGAAGAGGAGGGGATTTGGGAGGTGCTAAATTGATTCTCCAAAATATCCTTAACTGCAAACACCAAGCTGTTTATACAAGTTGCAGCTTGTCATGCTTTCTTAGCAGATCTTTTGCACTTTCAATAAGTGAATTCCAGTTAAAAACTATGCCTTTTGTAGCTTCAACACAAGCAGGTTCCATTTTGTTGAGTCATTTGTCAAGTGTGTGGTGTAAATTTCAGTAACCTTTTTCCAATTCAAAGGAAATCTTAGTCAGGGTATTATTATGGTAAATCCAAGTCACAGTCTTATGGCACTTCTTATGTAGAACACCAACCGGCATTTTACCTTGTGCATGAGTCGTTGATTTAAGACAGAACTTTAACTTTTAGAAGAAAGAACTTTTAGAATTGGCACGTTTCAGTAAACTAGCCTTCCATTCTGTGATTGAGGACAGAGATTTCTCTTGCTTCCTGAATAATATTAAGCTTCAATATGAGGCTCACAACCACATAAGGTATAGTTTGTGACTTCCAACTCCAAAACATCTTAAACTATTAGATTCTTCTTCTCTTTTCATGAATCATGCAATAATCACAACAAGCGAGCAAGGAGCAACATCATAATTATACTTTGAAAATTGTCAAGGCATGCCATTGTTTTCAGTAAAATGATGAGGAATTCAATCAGAGGACCGGAATTACAAGTGAAGAAGTAGAAGAGATGAAAAGTAAGAAAAAGGCTGAAGGGGCACTCTAGTACGGTTACCTCTGAATGACCTCCAGGGAAAACAAAGTAACCTGGGAACTCTCCCACATTATTACTTCTTTGCAATACAAGATACTTATTGTCACTTGTTTCAACAACGGCACCATTACCCAGGGGACTTGATGTGTGTTGACATCGTACAAAATCATCTGCGGAAAACGTATATAAACAAGCAAGATTTAGTTAAAGAATAATATATATGCGCAATAGTATGAATAATAGCTGCAAATGTGAAGTAGTCTATCTACTTGAAAGTAAAGAATGTTAAGAGGACCAAAATGCACCATCCATAATTGTAGGCTCATTCTTCAGATGTCAAAAGAAGCTAATCCACAAAGAAGTAATTTCTAAAACAATATATTCTGAACTCAACGTGCAGTAGGCTACCTTCATATTTGGAAAATCATATTTGACATCATTAAAGTATCCAATGGTCATAGGAAGATCATATAGCCATCTTTTCTGACCAAATGAACAGAAGTGCTTTCTTCTGATTTTTGTGCACCATCTGGGGAAAATGCAGTGTTGTTTCGATGCGATTCAATCCTAATCTATCGCTATCATGCTATCCAAGGTTTCGCCAGGAGCCTGATGTTAAAGGTGCTAATATGCATGTGATGGTTTCCCTATGTCTGCATGAGACAAATAATAACCTACCATTTCAGTGCGGGCTAGGCCGAAAAGTGAAGAATGTGCACAAAAAAAACTAGCATATACTATAAAACATTCAAGGAACTATAATAACTGTTTCCAGAACTTGATTAAATAATGTGATGAATATTTCAAGTTGATGAAATGACATAAATGGTCCAGTTCGGTAACATGCCTCTCATGGAAAAGAAACAAAAACTTGACTGAAATCACAATAGAAATAGCAGGGAAATAAGGATAAAGGCACAGCTATACCTTCTGAAGGAACAAGAAACTTCTCCCAAAGAGGGTTCAAGTTTGTCCCAATAAATGTCCTGGTGACATATAATTTGAGAAAAATTAATATGTCCTGAGCAAATAATTGTTCGAGAAAACACGTGCATGCAATGTTTAAATCCCTATATAACAAAATTCATAGATTCCAAAGACAATGATCTTCATACAAAATACTAAAACACGTGCACTCAAGGAGAGAAATACATTTATTGCAATCAATTTCAGACAGATGAATGGAAATCAAAGTCCATGGTCAACCAATAATCTGTTTACAACTCATTAGAAAATTTTCAAATAGCACAGATATGTTCCTTATACGATCAAGTTTAAGTGTTAATTCCTTCCTTACTTGAGGAAACTCTTGTCAGGACTTCTTCTATAGAATAACCATAAATTTTAAGTTGTTGCATAATTAAATGAGAAAAACTAAAAGGACAGCAAACAGCAGTAAAGGCGTCAAACATTTTACTATGCCTCAAATCCACATTTGATGTGGCAAAGTTTGTGATACTTTGGGACAAAGACAATGTCAGAAGAAACCACCATCATTTAGGGAAAAATAGATGAGATTGTTTCTGAAGTTTTTAAACAAGTGGGTCACAAAGAGTTTTATACTCCAAAGACAAGAATGCACCAATGCATGACAGATGCTTACAAGTAATTGTGGAAGTAACACTGTGTTCCTTATGAAAATGCACAAAGCAAAATATGATGCTATCTTTTGTTTCTTTAAATTCATAGCTGTCTAGCCAAAAGCTAGGACCCTACATGACCACCCAGGCTAAGCGGCAGCAGTTAAGGATTTTAAATACTCGTATTCGCTGCTGTCATAGGTTTAAACATTAAGCATCCCTCCAAAATGCACTAATGTCTCTTTGACTAACAAGGCTTCAATACCTTGCTATTAATATGTTATTCGGGATTTCCAACAAAATAAACTAACAACACAAATAAATTTATTTAAAAAAAGGCACCTCTCTAAACGTTTGAGAAACTATAAAAGAGTAAACAAACATTGCCAGAAAAACTATAATGGTGCATGGAGAAAAAACACATGAAATTACACTGAAGTTCCAACAAAGCCATAACAGCTAAGAGGAGACATAACCTGTAATCTGTCAGACATGAAATTACACTGAAGTTCCAACAAAGCCATAACAGCTAAGAGGAGACATAACCTGTAATCTGTCAGACCCAAGTGAAGGCAGACAGAGTATTCCAGCCATAACAGCTAAGAGGAGACATAACCTGTAATCTGTCAGACCCAAGTGAAGGCAGACAGAGTATTCCTTTTCCGAGCCATCAACAGGATGCAAGGAATCTCCCCCATACTGAATTGCATTGAATAAATCATGGATATGAGAAAGAACACTGACAAAATTACACTGAAAATTTGCATATGCTCATGAATATGAGAAAGCTCAGGCAACATAAATAAAGTACATTAGAGTAAATGAAAGAATTTTGTCAGCTAAAATATAAATAAATAAGGTGCAGCAACTAGCAGTTTATTTGGAGGAGGAACTTGAGTAGGGTTAGTAAGTAAAGTTCAAAGCATGCCTACAACTGATACTTGACAATAACTTTCATGGTGGAACGTTCCGGATGTAAAAATTGAAATTAAAAAAAGATAGCAGCTATTTTGATTAAATATTCAATATAATAAAACAGAGCATAAAATATTAATCTTCAAACTCACAACAGTTATGTAAAAGTTATGCTAGCGTTTCAAATATTATAGATGTCGTTAAGACATGGTATGGATCTACCCTTGCAATAATAAAAACCAAGTAGTCTCAAAATAAAAATCCGAACAAGATCACGGGGACTTCAGCTAGAATTTTCTATAACATAAATAAACGCCACTTCATGTTTCGATATCATCGAAAGATCATGTGTTAAAATTAACCACCAATGAAAAACCAAAAATCGTTCCTTTAAAGAAAACTGAGCTCCAAAGAATCTCAATTCAAACAGCCATTCAGCTTTTTCCCTAATTTTTATGAGCTTCTCGCTTGTTCAGAAACTACTACGTGATTACCTCCCTAAATCCACCCTAATCACAACAAATCTCTACAAACTAAAATGAGAATCAGGCAATTTCATACCCTGAACTTTTGGCCATTGTAGAGTGATGGATTCGCCTGAACTCGTTGATTCCATATCTAGGTTACCAAACAAAAGGAAGAAAATTAATTTCTAACTCAAAATAATAACAATAATAATAATAATCGCATAAAATGGTAGAAAAGTTGTGCCTCGTCGATAGATTTCTCTAGGTTAGGATCGGGATGAGGGATTCTGTCGTAAATAGGGCTGAAGTCGACACGAACCTTCAAATCAAACAAAGATCGACAAGCTAATTAGACAATTCTAAAAGAAAAACGCAAAAGATAAATTGGAAAAATTGAAGGAAAAAAAAACTACTCGAGATCTGGGGAGGGCAGAGGGGCAAGAGAGGAGGAGCTTGAAGGCGCAGCCTGGATCCATCATCGGCGTTTTCCGTTCGAGTTCGCTGCTGGCGTGGTTTCGACGCGGGGAGCGGGGGAAGAGAGATTCTGGTTCAAATGTCCCGCAGGGTGAGCTATAATTTAAAGTGGTTCCCTCTTCGCACCGAAGAAATTTTCAAAACCGACCCAACTCATGTTTTTATTTTCAAAACCGACCTAATTTTTTTTATTTATCAAAATCGATTCATTTTTTACCACGTCAGCTTAATCTCATTTTCTAATTAGTCGGGATTGTCAACCTCGACTATTTAGAATAGCAAAAACCGGGTTTAAAGCTTCTAATTGGGGTTTAACAATCTCCTAAACAGTCGGGAGTTGCCAACCCCGACTGTTTAAGAATGAGATTAAGCTGACGTGACAAAAAGTGGGTCGATTTTGATAAATAAAAAAAAATGGGTCGGTTTTAAAAATAAAAACATGGTTTGGGTCGGTTTTGAAAATTTCTTCCCGCGCAAGAATGTCCCACGTTTTCTAGGATTAAATCGGGATCCTCTCTGATTAGTTGGTAACTAGATACAATGTCATCGTACTGTCACAATAGCTAATTTTCACTAGAGTGGTTTCAAGTTAAAAATTAAAATAAGGGTGGGGATTAGGGTAATTGGAACCTCTCCGATTACAATTTTGACTAGAGAGAATGCCGATCCTTTCTTCTAAGGGGTTATTTGTTTGGCAGAAAAAAATGCCAAGAAATTAGATTTTCATGCCTGCCAAGATGACAGTGGGAGATTTAAGTCAAATTAGATCTTCTATTCTTTAGTTTGGTTCAACACAACATTTAAAGAATTTTTTTGGAGAAAGCACATGCCGACTTAGAAAAAAGAAATGCCCACTTCCGAGCCATAAACTCAGAATTGGGATGGAAGGGAACTAAAATAATTGATATTTTCGTCAGCTGGACCGCTGGAAAAATAGTGAGAAACAGCAGGAACAAAACAGACAACTTATCTTTGTTATTATTAATGTCTTCCCTTATCTCTCTCATTTCCTCCTCCTTTTCTTCTTCCTCAGCCTATCTCATTCCACCGCCTCTCTCCATAAATTTAAAAAAAATGGATGGAAGGTGATTGAATTTGAGTTTTACTCCTCTGTCGACCCTACAGATTTTGAGCCCTCTTTTACAGTCAATCATCTCTTGCTACTTCACAAAGAAACCCTAGCTTTGTTTGGGTTGTTTAATTTCCTATGTCATCAGTAAAGCATCTTCAGATCTGGGTGATTTAGTTCGGTGGTCTTCTATTTTGGTTATTTGGAGGTCGATTTTGTAATAATTCTAGTTTTTATTGGTTATATATATAAGGAAAAGTAAAAGGTATAAGGAAAAGTAAAAGGACTTTTATGCAAAAATTGTTAGAGGGTTCTATTAGTAAAAGAACTTATATGAATACCCAAAACTTATTCTTTTTCCCTTCAGCATGTTTATCCTTCTTCTTGCGAGTTCGGACATACAAAGGAAAATATTTCTCCCTGAATAATTTAACAAATCTGCTCCAAGGATTATCCTCCCCCTCAAGTGATAAACTGTCATCCTTAGTTTCCCATCAGATCTCTGCATCTCCCTCCAGCATAAAGGTAACATAAATAACTTTTTGCTCATACCCTAAGGCTCTGAAGTACTTCTCCACTTTCTTCAATCATTCATGTGCGGCCGTTGGATCAGAACCTCTCTGAAAAGATGGTGGAGACAACATCTTAAATTTTTCAAAGTCACTTCCAATAGGTTTAGTCTTCTTTTGTATATCTAGTGATTCACTCAGCTTCTCAGTTGCCTCTGACTACTTTTCAATGATCTCCATCTGCCTCTCCATGAATCCACTCTGCATCTCAATAAAACTGGTGAGTCCTTCAACCCCCCCAACCTCTCTCGCAGTCCTAGCAGTACGAGTAGTTATCCCCCCATGAGTTCTGGGTCTTGATCTTCCCCTAGCATTCCCATCAGGAGACTCATTTGTAATATTAGGGGACTCGATGTTTTGCCTACCTACACCAGCATTTTCAAAAACCCTAGTCTGGGGACGCCTACTTGATTGGGTATACTCGAAGGTAGTGTAACACATGCATTAGCATCAAGTTTAGGAGAAGAGCACCTCGCTGCAACACTAGAGTCTCTCTTCTCACAAGCCATCTCAATATAACATTACCAAAAACAACATGTTTAGTACAAAATATTTGTCATATTAATTATCATTAAATTAATTCATAACACATTCTTTATCACAAGCATAAGTAATCAAATAATATTTCCATGAAACGCATACACTAGACATGCCTTAAACTACCCGAACTAAGCATTTCACCTTTAAGAAAACAAAACTAAAGAAATTATGTGATCCATGGCTCTAAACTTATATGCCCCTCTACCTGAAATTTGATCTCATAATGTTCATATTGTCCTCGATCACACTTCAAAAATAAATTATTATATTCCATCATTATTATTATTTCCTTTAACTCTAACTAGGACCTACAGCGTAGGCTCTGATACCAATCTGTCACGACACCAATTTCCGAACCTAAAAGAAATATTGGAGCCGGCCTAAACCTGTGAAAATCCTCCAAAAATATACATTCATCAAAAGACCATCAAAATAATCTCTCATTGAAATAAAACCAACAATAAATATTCTCTATAATTCCAAAAGTCAACATTGATCCAATTAACTTGATATAAACAAATATTCCTCAACTTGAAATAAAATTCGACCTAAATGAAAGAATCTCATTATTACAAAACTCTCAAATTATCAAATAAACATCAAAGGCTTTATTTAACCTTCACCTAGAAGACAATAACAATCTCGAATTTTATTTCTTGCTCTATTCTAAGAATTTGAAAAATCATCAATTCTACCTAATCCCGAGTCTTTGAAAAGAATGAAAACAACATAATGAGTTCACAACTTAATAAGTGGATAAATTAATACATTGAACACTGATTTTACAAAAATTCAAATATTTCGACAAATGATAAGCAAAATATAAGAATGATGGAGAATCATCAATGAACTCTAGTACTTGATGCAAATATTTAAGAAAACTTAAAAATCATGAAATGAAAATAAGCAGGACGCGTCTCAATGCGGTCAACACTTTATACTCCGGTTGACTCGGTAAACCCCATAATTATTAAGCCCGTGGTTCCGGGACGGTGAGACCCAAATTTGGGCTCTTAGCGCTAAAATAAAACCACATAGATGCACATTGAGTCCTGTTTTAATAACTTGCTTATATCCAACATATACTGGTGTATTTACCTGAGATGCATATGCTTTAAGAAAATTAAACAAAGTTCATAAAAACTAAATACGTTATACAAAAATGCCAAAGGCAAACCAATAGTGAAATCAATCAACCACATTTGCATCTCAACCTATTACTGTAAGAAAATACATAATAATTGACAAATAAAATAAGCATAGGCTTATACCGAATAACCACGTGTACCCATCCAATCAACAATTAGTATGCGAGCAACCATACAAAAGGGCATAATCCATCAGAACAAACTTACATATACTCAATATAATTTTATATAAAAAAATACGCAATGAATAATGTACAAATTCACCACTTACCACAAACCCAAATGACGATCGAAATACCACTCACGATGCCTCCTTGGAGCTACTCGAAACCCCTAAAGAATAAATATAAGCAATGATCAATACTATTATATGCCCTCGACTCATTGCACACCAAAATATAACTATAAACTTTATCTTCTTTACTCTTATATCTAACAATTACGCATTAAAATGCCTTCAGCCAAGGAATTTAAATGCATGATTAATAATTATTTTATAAAACCGATTAAAGAGGATATGATCAGGTGCTTCATCATTTATAAAAATTTGCCACATGAAGCAATTACTAAAGATTATATTTGAGTAACAAACATGACCTACCCTCCTTCAATACAGACCCGATTATTTTTATTTTATTTTTTTCTCTCCTTTTTTCTTTCTTGATGTCCGAGTCTTTGCTGGAGATAGAGTTTGGGTAAAAAGATGGAATTTAGGTGAGAGATTAAAGCTGGCTTCGTAATTTAGGGGCTGTTTGGTTACTTTCCTTCACTTTCCATAGATGATTTTCCTTCACTTTCTTGTGTTTCCTTCACTTTCCTGAAAAATGTTCCTTGCGTTTGTTTCGCCCAAAAATATGTAGTGAAAGTACTTTACATCATTTTCTATTGTTTGGTTCAACTTGAAAAAAGAAGAAAATATGTAGTGAAAGTATTTTACATCATTTTCTGGTGTTTGGTTCAAACTAAAAAATTAAGAAAACTTGCTTGTGGTCACCATGGTAAGATTACCACCCAACATAATAGTTGTGCTCAGAAAATGCCATTATTTCATTATCTGCCTTGCCATAAAGTTTATAAAGCAATGTTGGCTGCAATATATTACCCCGCCAATATATTGTTGCTATAAACTTTTGACTGCATATCTTAAAAATAGCACATCATCATAACACAAAATATGCATACCAACCAAAGGCCAACCAAGAGCTGAAACCAAGGCTGAGAGCAAGTTGAAACCATCACATTAATCACAAATATGGATCCTTCGAACCAACACAACAAAGAGCTGAAACCAAGGCCAAGTGGAACACAAATTCAGACTCAGCAAAAGCCAACACAACAATTTAGCTCCATAGACCAAGCAACTGAAACCAAAGGCCAGCTTCTAACTTGGATCATCAACATGGAAACAACAAACCAAACAACCAACATGGAAACAGCAAACCAACACAAGCAAGACATGAAACCAAGGCCGAGAGAACACTGTCAGACTCACCAAAAGCCAACCAAGGCCAACATGGAAACAGCAAACCAACACAACCAACATGGAAACAACAAACCAACACACCTGGACATGAATCATCAACATGAATCAACAAACCAACACAACAAATTCAGACCTGCAACATGAATCATCAACATGGAAACAACAAACCAACACAACCAAGAGATGAAACCAAGGCCGAGAGAACAAATTCAGACTCACCAAAAGCCAACCAAGGCCAACATGGAAACAGCAAACCAACACAACCAAGAGATGAAACCA